AGCCTGACTCCCTAGGGGCTGTTTACCATCGCCCTACAACATGACATACAGTGAAAGCTTCATTAAACAGCCACATGAAACAGCATGTGACTATATATATTCTCGGTTGGAGTATGCTTACAGCGCATCTCTGATTCTGTAGATTCATTAATCATGCTAGCAGTGCTGTTACCAGATCATCACTATTCATCTCATCCTGAGGAAAATTTGGACATTATCCAATCATTTCAGTATTGAAACATATTTCATGCCTTGTCTTGTGAGAAGAAAAGTACAATATAGTTAATATAACATATATACCGTATTCGACGTAATAAGCACCCAGGGCACTCTCAAAATTAGAAATAGGGGGCTCTTATTAAAATATTATTTAGGTGGAAAAAAACGAGTTGAAAGATCGTAAATTTTGTGATTTATGCTGACAGTCTGAAATGTTTATATACGACAGATATATTTTTACAGGATTTAATTGCCCATAACTAAGGGTGCATATAACACACAAGTGCATATTATACACCAATAAATAAGTCTGGTATACATTGATCAATCGGAAAGGGTGCTGATTGAGATTTTCACTAGCCAATATATTAGCAAATATCCCTGTGGGTGCTTATTAGAGCGGGGCCCTTATTACGTTGAATACGGTAAAATCCATTGTTCAGAATCACATTCATTATATGAATAACTGTCAACTTGAAATATATCGCGGTGAGTAGCTGAAAGATTGCTGGTGTGGCATGAAGCAATAATTATTCAGTCACTACTCAACTTGAAATATAAAGTAAATCTTGAGGAGTTATCAGCAGTATGGTAACTTTACAGTGAAGACCTCTTACCTTGAAGCAGATGGATGCTTTTTCAGGTGAACAATTGATTTGCCTTTGCATGTGTTTGTGATGGGTGCCACTGATGGGCAGGATACACTCACCTTTTTGAGAACACCAGGTATCATCCCTATTTGATTGTGATTCATAAACACATGCTCATGAAATAGTCAGTACAAATGTCTCTGCTTTTGGGAGATTTCTTCTGAATATGGAAATGTTTTTGATGCTTTTATTTCCATATAGTGCCTTGGACTTTGAAATAACTTGGAGGGTGACTGTTGACTAATGTCATATTTTAAGATTGCAGGATTAGCATGTAGAGTTTGGAAATGACGTGCTGAATATTGTGATAAGAATAAAGACACTCTGTGGTAACGCTTGACTGATTGTTAGTTTTGTAATTAATTGGTACACGTCTTGCCAATCTCTTCTTAATGTACATACTTCTCTTTATGTTTCTTTGTTCACGTTTCTTTTGGCTGTGAGTATATGATGCCATGACCGATTAACTAAAGTAATAGAAAAGATTCAGGTGGTCCTTAACTTCTTTTGAGTAATATATAATGCCAAGAAGCAGAGGAAACACTTGAAAGTGTGGTCACAATACCATGACTATCGAACAGTTTCAAGGCATGTCATGAGGGAATCATTTTCAGTTTCTGAAGGTCAGTGTGAGTATAAGAGTATGTGATTAAAAAAATATTAAAAAACGTGTTTTGTCAGATAATCATTACACGATAAGATTTCAAATTTGTGTTGGTCCTTATTGCCTGCAGTAAATAAACATTTTGATTTATATGTCACAATCAGCTGCAGATTTTTAAATATGGGCCTGAAGAGTTTAGTCAGGGCCTGCAGCTTATAAATGCCGGAGGTCCTGATGGCAGCTTGGCAATTTTTTTATTTCATACACTGACTATACTCCACCTTTTTTTATGCATGCTAAACATGTATATATTCCTAATATTGATGGATGATTGGGTACTGTAAAACTAAACATAATAACACAATATATTGTGACTATTGTCAACAAAATTACACATTTGCTGAAAGCAAATTGCCATATAGAAAAAATTCCACCCTCTTCTGTCAAAAAGGTCTTTGCGTACTTATATAGTAAGCAGTGGGCAGCTTTGTCCCTGGTGTATACTGGTACTTGTTTTAGTGGCTCTGTTTCCCTCTGGTGGCAGTTAGTCGTCTGACAGCCAACATGGCTCACCCTGTAAAAGTTAGCATGACACAAGTTTGTGTGTAAGGACAAATATAGCATCTATTAAACATAAAACTAAGAGGATGTAATGCTGGAACACTGATGAAGATTACACTTCATCATAGTGATGTTCACTGAAGCCAGTTCTTGCCAACTGTAGCCACACTGAGGACAACCACAGCTGAACTCTGCCAACCAGTAATGGCCAACATTATTACACTTTTTGTTTTCTCCATTTATATGCTAATTATAACTATGGTTATGTATGATCCACGTACACTTTGTCCTTTTTTTCTTGAGAAATGTCTTTGTACTTCAATTTTCCTCATAAACAGGGGAAAAAGTTTTCAATTTACTTAGATGCCCCATTCAATCAATGTTTCAGTGACAAGCTACTTTCCATTAAGTAATGGTTGTTTCCCTCTTCCACGAAATGAGCAACAAGGCCTGGACATGGCTGATGTTGATATACCACAACCTCAAAGGACATGATCTTAAAATATCAGAGATGTTAGTTAAATACTTGATTTTAGTTATCTATCATTAGCCCAGGATTGCTTCATCCTAAGAAACTTTGAATTTTCAATCAATTACTGGTTGTCTGCCCAGCAGTTTACAAGTCTTACTCTCTGAAGTGAATGATTCTCCATGGAATCGATTTGGACAAGGATTCTGATACTGTCTGTCGCATGTAAGCGCTAATCATCTCCTTCGCAGGGTGGTGTCCTGTAGTTTCAGGTTCAGACCTCCACTAGTTGATGATTATTGTATTGTTCACATGCTGGAAAGTAACCCAATATGCCCACTGCTCAATGGCTCACGCTGAAAATCACCTATTTCATATTGGAGATTAAGTGAAGAAAAATTCGCCCTTGATGAAGAAAATTCCGTGTCATCCATCAAGACATTGCATGAGGAAAGGATAATATATTGTTTCAGAATAATGTAAATACTGCCAAAAGCATCAGAGCCAGTTTCATCCAAAAATTGATTTGATAATGAAAATATTGTTTTTCCATCTCTTGTCAAATATAATTAATTAAGTAGAGAGTCATGTTTTTTAGGATATTTGTCAAATTATATTACATTTTGGATGTAAAGAGTACGGTTTTTGCAAGAGTTGAAAAGTTCTGAGCCTAACTATGAAGGATGCATCGTACATCCTTAAAAGTTTGCATGTATTAAGTACAACACTTTCCATGCTTACAAGCTGCATTAGAAGCATGTTCACATCCAACCAGCAAATATCTGCAGGCATAGAGACTAGGTACTCTCTGTTGATGTACATGGACCAATTTAAGGAAGTGAATATATGGATGTCAACTCCCCTTATTATGAGGAACACAACGTTTCGGAGTATATGCTTACTCCTTCATCAGGTGATTGAATGCCATGAGGCAGAGAGCATATATATGTACTTGTAAGGACAACAAAATTAATAAGATAACAAGTGTCCAGTGTCCATTACCTATTACTTATCTATGAAACTAAGTACTGGCTTCATCCCTAATTACTGTAAAGTGTTGGCTTCCATTGTCTATTGTCAATCACCAATCAGCGCCAATTATCTGTTGGTTTCCCTTGTTAGTTTCTATTCTTTGTTCTTTTCCACCTTTTGTTATCTTCTCAATTTTGTTGTTTTGGAATTGTGAAGCTAAACCTTGGTGTTGATAAGCCATGACAAGTATTGGTGTGGAATTGTGAAGCTAAACCTTGGTGTTCATAAGCCATGACAATTATTGGTGTGGAATTGTGAAGCTAAACCTTGGTGTTGATAAGCCATGACAAGTATTGGTGTGGAATTGTGAAGCTAAACCTTGGTGTTGATAAGCCATGACAAGTATTGGTGTGGAATTGTGAAGCTAAACCTTGGTGTTGATAAGCCATGACAAGTATTGGTGTGGAATTGTGAAGCTAAACCTTGGTGTTGATAAGCCATGACAAGTATTGGTGTGGAATTGTGAAGCTAAACCTTGGTGTTGATAAGCCATGACAAGTATTGGTGTGGAACTGTGAAGCATCGACAGTGATTGATCAATTTGTTCCATGTGTAACCATTTTCCTTCAATAGCGATCAGCTGTACCAAAGTGCATCGTTTATGGTTATTGATTTATTTCAGTTATATATAGTAAAGCTGCAACTAAAATAACACTATATTGAAATATATGTTTCCAATCATTGTATCAAAATATTCTTTAAAGTTATGTTATTGAGTAATATTTAACCAAATCGCCAGTAGATTCCAAGAAAACGTGTGTACAGCTGATTACTGTTTCTGGCTTAGTTTACGAGACAATACATACAGTAATCTTACTCTCTGCATAAAAATAAGATATCCGTGAAGATCCAGTTTAGAACAGGTCTTCAGCAACCCATGCTTGCCATAAAAGGCAACTATGCGTATTGTAAGAGGCATCTAACAGGATTGGGTGGTCAGGTTCGCTGATTTGGTTTATGAATGTCATCGTATCTAAATTTCATGGATCAATGCTCACGGTGTCAGTCACTGGTTTTTCTGATCCAGACTCAATTTTTTACAGACCGCCATCAATATGGCTGAGTGCTGCGTTAATCGACAAACAAACAAAACTCTGCATATAAAAGAATGTCTAGCAGAACAGTAAATACTATCGAAACAGTAAATTAACATGTCTAGTGATGTTTTATCTTAAATTTCAAATCTTTTTTTGACCAAGTTTCCTTGTTATCACCTGTTCGTTTACTTGAATTCGCTGAAGGGATACGATGTCATTTTTCTCTGCGGAAGACACACACATTTTTATTGCAAATGGAGGGATATGTATGCGGTGGTGATGTGCTTCATTCCAGATCGCTTTATAGATGGGGTATATGAATTTTGAGGGATTTACAAGGGGATCGCCTTATAGCCGGGGTCACTTTATAGACGATGATATAGATGTTTCGATACATATGTACAACGTCTAGTATAATGTGTTTGCAGGTACCTGATGCTGGTGTACAAGGCTATGGCTGAGGCAGTCATGAAGGGAATCAAGACGTATGCCCACACTCTCAGTGTCACTCAGGTAGGAAGAACATCTTTCAGTGTTATATTTGAGATAACACTTTCTTAGTAAAGTACAGATTCTCATACATTTTTGGGTTGAGTCCCATCCAGGATTTGATCCCACACTGCCAGAGTGAGGCACCTAATCACCAGCACACAAAGTCATTGATCTAACCCACTTAGCCACCAAGGCTTCCACAAAGGTGAAAGTCTGACAACTGGTAGTCAAGATCACGGACTTTGTGTACCCCTCTGACAAGTGTAAATTACAGTGGCAATTACAAACTGGAGTATCACTGGAGGCAGGATCCCCTGAATTCTGTGGTTCTCTCAATGCAGTGTTTAGTGTGGGTACCTTTACCCAAGATTGATAGACAAGGTAATAAGAAGACAGCGATTAATAAAAACAGGATTGCAAATGGTGAAAATGGATGAAGCCTAGGGAAGCCTACCAAGTTGTTGCTCACTTGGTTGATTAATATACTGGTACCTGCACCAAAACATCACATTGAAAAAATAAAAGAAGTTGAAATTCAAAGGTCAATCCTTCAGTTACAGGTAGGAACTGTATTACTTGTCCATGTGCCCAGTGCAAACTGAATTTCTGCCAGTTAAGCTGTTCTCCTAAAGTACTTCCTTCTCCAACTGTCAGGGGTTGTCGGGTAGCCTAGTGGTTAAAGAGTTCACTTGTCATGCCGAAGACCCGGGTTCGTTTCCCGACATGGGTACAATGTGTGAAGCCCATTACTGGTGTCCCCCACCGTGATATTTCTGGAATATTGCTAAAAGCGGCATAAAAACCATACTGACTGACTCACTCACTCATTTACTCACTATATCTGTCCTCATCCTAACATCTAGTTGGACCTACTTTTTTTCTGCTTTCAGTCTAAATTTTAGAATTTAGTGCTGACTTTGGGTTTGTAAGTATGACCTATGCAAAGATGTGACCCTGATTCTTAGCATGGTTTGGAGTCTGTGTCAAGGTGCAGTGGGTTCTGAGACAGAGCTGTAGCAATTTGGACAAGTGAGACTTTGTGGTTTCACTAGTGTCAAACATATTGTCATCTCACAATATAAACAAAAGTATTGTTATACCCATTATGTTTCCTGTATTCAACAAGAATATGGATCAGGTTTATAAATCATATCATGCTATTCCTCTAAGGGTTCCATGACAGGATACGCCCAGAAGAATTCCAGGGCTAAATAGGTCCCTAGTTCCAATGATTGTAAGAAAGAAACTGAAATGGCCACATACAGTAAACTACGGTTATAACGAACTCATAGGGACCACTAGTTTTAGTTCGTAATAACCGTAGTTCGTTATAAGCATATATACAGCATATATGCAGCAAATGCCCGGGACTAAAAAATAAGTTTGTTATATCGGTCAGTTCGTTATAGGCGTGTTCATTATAAACGTAGTTTACTGTAGTATGTAATGAGTTGGTTGGGTTACTGCTTACCGAAGACCAACTCTCATGTGTGACCTGTCTGTAACTCAGCTAGTTGTGTGTCGTCATACACTAACAGCTTGGATAATTGCTCAAACTATTTACACTTGTTGACTGGTCTGCGCTCCTCATCTATCTAACTGCCACTGTGGTCTTGTGCTAGAGCTTCCGCCCGGGTTCGATCCCCGGCCGCGTCAGACCAAACGACGTTAAAAGATGGTACTTGTTGTTACCATCTCTGATGCTCGGCATTAAGGGTCTAAAACAAGGACTGGTTGGCTCGGAGTCAGTATACTGTGTCTGAGTGGGGTATTCATGTTAAACTGCGGCATGGTATCTCAGTGGGCTAGCACTAAAAATCGGCATCAGTCCGGACTAGTACAAGCAGCCACACACACAAACACTCGCACGTGCATGCACGTCGCTATATAAGTGCAATAATCTTGGCGCGACGTTAAACCCAATTTCACCTCACCTCCTCATCTATCTAGGCAGCTGTGGAATACCTGAGACATTACTGACAACAGGGTCACACCCCATTCACTCATTATATGACTGTTTGAAAACAAGTTTCATTTAGCAGAGGAGATCTTATTGATAGTGAAATTGTCAGTTTCTTGATATTTATGTTGGTGATGTTGCAATGCTGTTGCAGGCGAGGCTGAAGGCTGTCCAGACTCTCCATGACGACTGTGGTGACCTGAAGACTTCTTCTCTCCTCAACTATCTGTCTGATCGGTATGTAGTAGGACAAAGATCAATGGCAGGGTAGAATGCAGCAATCCCATTGGCATAAGATGCCATGCCGGAGGTGACATCTTTCAACATCATTTCTTCTACGATGCTGTTATGTTGGGGCAATGAATGGTTACAACACAATGTTGCATGTTCACCCAGGATTGAAATGGTACATCTCTGATGTCCACTGTTGTGATATTGCTAGAATCACTATATATTTCCTGAAGCGGCCTAAACCCAGGCCCTTTCACTCACAGTGTTGATGCGATGTTATCAAGGAGTGTCTGACAGATTTACTCACTGTAACCCTGATCAAACAACTTTTGAGCAAAAGTCATATGATGCTCTTTGAAATCTGCGTAGAAAGAACATGCTTGATTGAACCTTAAGGTTGTGAAATGACACCAAAGCCTAGAGCTGCGGGAATATTGCTCGACATGAAGAGAAAGTTGACTATTGGAAAGTTGACGTCATCCCCTTGTCATACAGTCTTGTGGAGAGTGTATTGTCACTCTGAACCCTGGCACGATGCTGTTACACCAAATACATGCTGTTGTTTGCCTCTATTGGGGAATTCAAAACTGATTACATACTGTGGGCACACACATGTCATTGGCCTGTTGGGAAGTGGCATTATTGGTTTTTAATCCAATTGGAAACAATTATATGAAAGTAGGAATTTCATTATGTCAGTTGATTCCACTCAAACCAGTTCAACTTGATAATTTGAACGTGTTCTGTTTATATTTTCTTCCTGTTTCAGATCAAGTGTCAAGTTTACTATAGAAGCTGTTGACAACTGTGGCAGGTGGGAGGGAATTCCGTCACTTAGTCACTTTATGTCATTTCTTCTTTACAACATATTCCTTTCAATCTGCATAAAACATTTTCAAATATGTGTTACAATCAGTTTTTAAAAATTAATTATTAAAGTCAAGGGCCCTTGTTATTGCCTAGATGTGAACAGTTCAGAGTTTAGGGGTTCCCTTAGTTTCAAACACTGCCAAGTATGGCAAGGAGACGTACTCCATCAAATGGATATGTCGTAGGACTCAGATCAATGGCAAATATTAGCCCATTGTCATAAGATATCATGAGATATAGGGAAACTAATTCCTGTAAATAAGACTGAGTGGTATAATGTTTTGCTTTATGCTGATTGATGAGTTAATGAATTGATATTCATTGTGTGTGATGCCATTGTTCATGATGATGATCCAACAGTTAACTGGTCAATTCTTTTGACTCTTTCAGGGTTTCAGATCAGTTCATGTTCTAGGACATTCACTCCTTATCTTCCAAAATGTGAAAGAAATCTGGATATTGTTAATAATTGGCAGAGATATGTCCTATCAAAAGTTGATAAAAACATAAAAATAGCCTAATATGAGATGCAGCAGGATCACAAGGGGTACATGCGGTCTTATGCATCCCACGTAAGGTTATAAAACCTAACACGGGATGCATAAGACCGCATGTACCCCTTGTAATCCTCCTGCAACAAAGTTATCTTACTAACATGTAAAAAAAAATTAAAAATCCAAAATTGATAACAGCTGTTAAACTGAACTGAGGTAAACTTGTGCTATGTCCCGTGACTTTCATTGACTTGGGGGGGGGGGGGGGGGGGGAAGCATGTGGCTTTTTACTTTGAAGCGGGGTATGAGGGATATATTCTGCCTTTCAGAAATCCATGTGCAGCCTGACTTCCTCATGGTGGGGTTTAAGGGATTTAATCCTCCGCTAAGAAATTTATTTCCTTCCTAGGCGAGATACATAGTCTTTGATCAAGATCATGTGGACCAATCAAATCGCTTCATTCTGACATGGAGGTATGATAATGCCATTTGTCGCCAGCAAAATCCCTCCTCTTTGTGTGACCCACATTCTTCTACATTTTCTTGACTCTGAGTAACATATAGAATAAACTGCTCATAATTCAGACTGATTATCTGTCACTTGGGAATATATATTACAAAGGCTTGCCTGGGACTGTAATAAGTTTGTTAGCTATTCAGTAAATAACCTAATGACAGTTTTGAAATTGTTTAGCTGACCAGATAGTTGACAATGGAGACTCAATAAGTTTCAGAAACAGATGTTGTTGTTGTTTTTCCAAAGTAACAATACTTGCCCCAACATTTGGTTCAGTTTTTATGTCTGTCGAACTAGCAAATATCTACGATATATAATGACTCATTAGCTTCTAATTCAAACAATTACCCAGCTAGTTCAAACTAATTAAATATTAAGCTTGACTCTTACCAATCAGTGAAGTCATAGATCAATAATCAATAGCAGAAATATAGAAATATGGTGCCAAATACTGTCATTTCTGCCACTAATTTGTCTCTATAGATATTTGATTAAACTCTTGTCTCGAGGCATTTAAACAGCTTGTGGGTGCACCTACCTCCACTTGCCTGCAATTCAGTCTACACGCATGCATTAACGTCAGATCGTTATTGAAATGATTCAATAACTCAACCAAATATTAGTAATAAAAGTGTGGGAAATGAAATTTGGTTGTCATATCAAAGCCAATTTCTTCCTCCAGGCCCAGCTCCCTGCGAGATGGCAGCCAGAGTCTTCTGGTGAAGGTTGCCACCATGACCCTGTATGACGTCCCCAGTTGCCATGGCAAGGGCCACCTCAGCTCCTTGGTGTTTGCGGAGTCCTTCCTAGACTCTGTCATTCCAGTCTCCGACCCAGGTGGGATTGTAGTATCCAACTAGACCCTGTAGCAACTGACAACTGAATGGTCCACTTGCTTGATGACCACTAGGTCGTAGCCTCATAGTCCTAGCTCACTTGCCTCACAGCCTCGTATCGCAATAGCCAAATAAGTCCACTAGCCTGATAGACCAGTATGCAATTGGTTCACTAGCCAGATAGCCCAGTATCCAAAATGTCCACTCGCCTGATAGCCCAATATCCAAAATGTCCACTCGCCTGATAGCCCAATATCTAAATTTTGCACTAGCCTGATAGACCAATATCCAAATGTCCACTAGAAGAAAGCCTGAAAGCCTAATAGCCAAATATGCTCACTAGCCTGAAAGCCCAATATCCAAATGGTCCACTAGCCTGAAAGCCCAATATCCAAATGGTCCACTAGCCTGAAAGCCCAATATCCAAATGGTCCACTAGCCTGAAAGCCCAATATCCAAATGGTCCACTAGCCTGAAAGCCCAATATCCAAATGGTCCACTAGCCTGAAAGCCCAATATCCAAATGGTCCACTAGCCTGAAAGCCCAATATCCAAATGGTCCACTAGCCTGAAAGCCCAATATCCAAATGGTCCACTAGCCTGAAAGCCCAATATCCAAATGGTCCACTAGCCTGAAAGCCCAATATCCAAATGGTCCACTAGCCTGAAAGCCCAATATCCAAATGGTCCACTAGCCTGATAGACCAATATCCAAATGGTCCACTAGCCAGATAGCCCAATATCCAAATGGTCCACTAGCCTGATAGCCCAATATCCAAATGGTCCACTAGCCTGATAGCCCAATATCCAAATGGTCCACTAGCCTGATAGCCCAATATGCAAATGGTCCACTAGCCTGATAGCCCAATATCCAAATAGTCCACTATACTAGGCCAGATAGCCCAATATCCAAATAGCCCACAAGCCTGATAGCCTGATAGCCTGTTAGCCTAATAGCCCAGTAGCCTGATAGACTAATTCCATAGGCTTGTGGACTTTTTGGCTACATGAAGTGTATCCTCAGGGATTGTAACATTAATGAACACTAATGGGGGTGTTCTTTATTTTCACTATTCAGAAAAATAGACTTTTAATTTTACTTTATACATGTTGTATCTTGATAAAATTAACAGATTTGTAACTTATTTAACCATAAGTGGACACAAAATGGCTAATCTTGAGTGATGGTAGTTGGTGCTGGGCGATGCCTGGTGGTGGAAGGTTTCACAAGGTAAGCTGTGTGCTATTAGTGTGCCAAAGCTTCTTCACTTACTTGGAGGTACAGTAAACTACGGTTATAACAAACTCAAAGGGACCACTCATTTTAGTTTGTTATTTCCATCGTTAGTTATACGCCTTTTGACTGTCAGACATCTTTTTCTAAGTCATGTGACATCATCTTACCCGATAAATAACAAAAGTGTGCACTGTACATGTACAGAATATATCCACTTCAATCAGTGTGTTACTGTTGTTAATTGAGGGTGTAATTTGAGGAAAAGGTGTCAGTACTTGAGTACATCAGTTGCCTTCAATTGTTTATTGATGCTTTGAACAGCAGCGTTTTGATTGGTGACACGTGAGGGATGAACAGTTTGTTATACACTTAAACATTAGCGTTGACAGAGTACACACGAGACCACAAAGTGAATTCGCTATATCCGTTGTTTCGTTATGAGTGTGTTCGTTATATCAATCAACTTTATATGATAAAACATATGGCAAATGGCCTGGACCAAAAGAACAGTTTGTTATATCCGTCAGTTGATTATGAGCATGTTCGTTATAAATGTAGTTTACTGTAAATGGACTGAAGGAGACATTAAGGTGGCCAGGAATACCGTGACTATAGAAGCTGATTTAGAAACTGTGAGAACCTCTTCCTTTCAGCCAGAGTTAGGGGCGGTCGGGTAGCCTAGTGGTTAAAGCATTCGCTCGTCGCGCCGAAGATCTGGGTTCGATTCCCGACATGGGTACAATGTGTGAAGCCCATTTCTGGTGTCCCCCGCCGTGATATTGCTGGAATATTGCTTAAAGCGGCGTAAAAACATACTCACTCACTCAGCCAGAGTTATACAGGTGTGGATTGTCGGCATGTTCATTGGAGATTAACAAAATAACAATTGTTTGCAGATTTCTGCAAATTTTAAATGGAATTAAGTCATTGCTGCTCAGTGTTTAAACATGTTATTGTCAAAATATTTGATTATTTGATTATTCAATTGGAATTTACTTTACATTTCTATTCATCATTAACTTAATAGTCAGAATTCATTTTGGCCAGTGGCCGTGGCCATTTTTTCTAGACATGTCTGAAAGATGATTATTCACCTGTGGGTGTTGCAGGCCAGCCAGAGACAATCAGCAGTGATGTTCTAGTTCTCACCAGTCACCTGCCAAGGTTCCAGATGTGGGCAGTAAGTGGCCAATCTCCATGCAGTGACCCCATGTCAGCCTGGACTACAGCAGACCGGAAACCCACCCTCCTGGACTCAAGCTGTGTCCCGATAAACTGTCAATCCACTAGCAACAAATTGCATCCCAGCTTCCGCCGTGTTATTAAATGAATTATTGCATCTTGTTTATCTTCTTTTAGTTTCACCATTGTTAAGTCCCTGTCCTTCACGTAGAAAGAGAAATGGATTAATTTATGTCTACAAGTTTTACAGGATATCAAATAAGCTATACTAAAAATCTTTGCCGAACATTTCCAAGGTAATTTCTAAATGTGTACACCGTGTGTTACTTTGTTGATGTAGAGCAGCAAGGCAGACTCGTTGGCAAATAAAGATATCCAGGAGAGACTGAGGTGTAAGAGCCTGCCTGGCTTCGGTGATGTGTTGATGCATGGGGAAGCAGTCCACCTGACAACTGGGGATGTGCTCACCTCACCTCCATGTCAAGGTCAGTCAGGCAGTTGGGTTGTGGGCAGCTTGTAACAATATTCTAACCCAATCACTGTGGGGATCAGCTGAGATGGGCTTTACACATTGTACCCATATGGGGAAAAGATCCCCACTCTTTAGCACATATGGCGAACATATCCCCGCTCTTTAGCCCATATGGCGAATAGATCCCCGGTCTTCAGCCCAAATGGCAAATAGATCCTCGCTCTTTAGCCCATATGGCGAATAGATCCCCAGTCTTTAGCCCATATGGGGAATAGATCACCATTTTTTAGCCCGTATGGGGAATAGATCCCCGGGCTTTAGCCCATATGGGGAATAGATCCTCGCTCTTTAGCCCATATGGGGAATAGATCCTCGCTCTTTAGCCCATATGGCGAATAGATCCCCAGTCTTTAGCCCATATGGGAGAATAGATCACCATTTTTTGGCCATATGGGGAAAAGATCCCCAGTCTTTAGCCCATATGGCGAATAGATCCACAGTCTTTAGCCCATATGGGGAATAGATCCCCAGTTTTTAGTCCATATGGGGAATAGATCACTGTTTTTAAACCCATATTGGGAATAGTTCCCTCATCTGTATGGGGAATAGATCCACGGTCTTAGCTCATATGGGAATATATCCCAGTCTTTAGCATGTCAAGCCAATGCATTAACAACTAGGTTACCCCACTGCCCCCATAACAAGGTGAGGTGCCAGTTGAAATACGCTGAAGCAGGGTTGTCAGTCATTCCTGGTTCAGGTTACTGTAAAACTGTAGCAATACTGCACTCATTCCAAGGGGATTCCAGGTTAGAACTGGTCTCAAGCAACGGCTGGTGAATTGGGATGGTGTGTCGTCGTACCCCACCGGCGAGGATTGTTGCTCACAATATCAATCACTGGATTGTCTGGTCCAGATTCAATTATTTATAGGCCACAGTCAATTAGCTGGAATATTGCTGAGTGTAGTGTTAAACAGTGGTTGAAACTAACAGTTTTAGTCCACTATTCTTTATAATTATAAAATGTAGCAAAACCCTTAAAAGTGGCAAGTTTCTACTAGTCCTTACCTATTGGGCAGTTTGGCTGTAGGATTAGTGCCAATTTCTAATGCTGGTTAAACAACAAACACACACACTGCAGTCATGGTGTAACTGTGTTTTGACCACCTGAAGAGAGATCAGGCAATCTATGGCATGAATTGATTCAGGGAGTCGCCATCATGTAGCCGTGATTGTGCTGTCAAGGGTGTAAAACCCATTTACTCATTTCTCGCTTATATTTGATGGCAAATATTTCTCTCTCCTTGGTTGTAAAGCATTATATATGTCTGACAAGCCTCATAAAGTTGATATTATTCGGCAGGACATTTGACATTTACCATTAATGATAATCCCAGCTTTCGACCAAGTCATTCCAATCTCTTCAGCTTCTTTGTTTGGTGTGTTTGCAGACTGTCTGTACTTGTATGAGAATGGCTTGATCGTCCAGGCCTCGCAGTATGGGGCGTTCTCTCTCATGGCCAGACATGTAAAAGGATTCTCCTTGTATGATGGGGTAGGTTATCTTGAGTTGATTTCACACTAAATAAATCAATTAACATGTTATAGTCATATCTTCTGCAGATATTGATATCATAAGTACTTCAGTTTAGTCCATGTCTGAGTGGTCCCAGTCCATTCCTCTGTGACTAGAAATGCTTGATGTTAATGTGACACCTTGAGTGAAGAGTCTGGCAGACAATATGTTTGTGTGACAGGACTCCATATCCAATGTTGCGTTCCTCATCGCTGACCTGGACGTGACCGCCAGGGCTCGACTGCCTCCTCATCTTCTCAGCTCCAACAACAGGCTGGTTATTGCAATTCCTCCCCGGAGTAAAGCCAGGAAGGCTCTCTTCCAGCAGGTAATACCGGCCTCCTGTAGCCAGCCAATGTGTCCTGAGTCTTGTTTCTACTTGTTTAAATGAAGGTGACATTTAAACTTTTCCAAGGGGTATTACACTCACTCACTCACTCACTCACTCACTCACTCACTCACTCACTCACTCACTCACTCACTCACTCACTCACTCACTCACTCACTCACTCACTCACTCACTCACTCACCCACCCACCCACCCACCCACCCACCCACCCACTCACTCACTCACTCACTCACTCACTCACTCACTCACTCACTCACTCTAACATGGCTGCTGTTCATGGTGGTGGTAGGATGGTACGCTATATTATCATGGTAGTTAATTTATAATGGATCGTAATGGCCCCTGTTTATTAACCTATTAAATATGTCAAATGCAAAGAGTTTATTGTTCTTTGTTAAGGATTGATCGATTGCAGATTTTCTTCACCGAGTTCGGTAAACAAAGTTCCTGTCAATAGCGATTCAAGGGCGAGTTACTCTATATTATTGCAGTATGGCTATTTTGTGGTGTGATATGTGTGGATTATGTGGTTTAAATTACTTCCTGGTTTGGATTATGCATAATCAGTATGCATTCAACCTGGGCTGGGTCAAGGGAGATCATCTAAGAAATGGGTTCTTTTCTAATCCATTTTGAATGGAGGTAGAGGTATTTCCACTCAAAAAACATTCCAGAAACTATCATAAAAAAGTAAACATGTATACCGTGACGAATCCTGTAATCGATCAAGCAATGATATATCGTGCTAAGATTTGCATAACTAAACGGTCAACAGGGGGTGTGGATTACGAGATTTACCGTTCCCATGATAATATAGAGCCTGTGATAATAGAGTCCTACTATATACTGTGTGTGCCCGGACTAACTGCGTGTGATACAAAGTCACTGCTCATACTGGAGTGCCTCACCCAGACTCCAGACTCCACTCCACTATTTCCAGACTCCGCAATTTCCAGACTCAACTATTTCCAGACTCCACTATTTCCAGACTCCACTATTTCCAGACTCCACTATTTACCAGCCACAATGATATTGCTGTATTGTTGTCTACTGCTGCATGAAGCATGATTGACTGACTCTGACTGTTGCAGGTCCTGCCTGTGTGGAAGGGGGACAGTGACATGCCGGAGGTGAAGAGACAGGAAACACTGCCCGAGGACCTCTCTGCACTGTGAGTCTCTTGTAACCAGTTCAATCAGTTTCTGTAATCTCCATAGAGCGAGGATACCAATGATATTTTTCTTCTACTTTCAAATATTTGGTGGGACATCATTGTCATTTAAACATGGAGAGGCAGTATTTGTAGTTTGCTCCCCTTGAACAAAATTGAAGGACAGTATTTGAGCTAGAAAGTTGCAAAAGCTTTGTGAAATTGTTTAAACCGATATTTTACAGTTAATTAAACAAATTAGTATTCTTTGAGGCCAAGGTCAGTGATCCTGTTTGTTGTCTGAATAAAGTACACTTCTCAACCCTGTATCACTTTTAGGAATTATGACATGGTATGAACTCCTATTATTATCTATCTGAGACTTAGGTAATTATGACCATGTGTTTACTGTCGTGTCACAGCCACAACCTGCTGCAGATCCAGCACACATCAGCTGAGAACATCATTGCCCCCATCAATACCATCACCTTCAAGCGAGTTCCCAGTGTCCTCCCACACATCAACAGGTAGACCAGACATAAGCTCAACTCTCATGCAGCAGATGCATTTAGAGGTTGTCATCAAGTGCTAAATTAGCACTTCCAGACACATGGTATCACATGACATGACTGGTGACATTATCAGTATCTTCTGTATCATGATGTCAGCATTTGTTCAAATCTGTGTCATGCAGATTTTTTACAATGTAATAATAACTATAATGGTTGTTGAAGTAATTGTTATTAAAGTAATTATTGTTGAATGAAAAGTCATTTGTAAGTTGCATGTGCAAAAATTCATTGGTAGAAATCTTCAAGCGAGTGATGTTTTAAATTGAACTGAACAATTTGATGAACAATGCATTTGATGTCAATCCATAAAAGTTCCATCAGCAAACAAAAGGTTGCTGGTGAAATTAATTCCTCTTCCTGGTGATATGTTGTATGATCTGTGGTGCAGGTTCTTGCCCCACTTCGTGGCAAGCAGTGTGGGCTGGCATCCCGTCCAGCAACATGATCTCAACAGTCTCCTCAAACAAGAGACCCCACCGCCATCGGCAGAGACAGAATGGGTATGCTGTACTCAAATGCAATTCAAAAATTATTATCGGTTGGAAGAAAATTAATCCAAATATGTTAGTTGTGGGAAATGCAAATCTTTATGACATATATCCAGTTATTGCTCCTGAAAGTTGTCAAACTCTGTGGGGCCCCGGGGGCAGTTTGTATCCCATGCACCCCGCTGCAAGAGGTGACTACCGTATTTTCTTGAGTATAGTGCACACTTTTTTTCCCAAAAACACAGCTGTGTAGAAGGGGGTGCGCATTATACACGAAGTAATGAGTTTTGATGTTTTTTCCCCAATGGAAAGACATTACCGTGAGCACGTAACACTGGAAATACCATGTCAACAAATCCATACTGAAGTTCGCAAATTATTCATGTAATTACACTGTCTGGCTATAAAAAGTGTCTTTGTATATCTGGACTTATGTTTTATTCAAAATTCTTTTTAATATTGTTTTAATTAAATCGTGTGTGAAGTGTTCAGAAGATCGCACAACTCACCGTTATTAACAGCAACCACGGTCAGATTACCGCTATTGACGCCTTGAAACGAACTTTAGTTGACAGAGAATGGATACATATATCATAAATGCCATACTTTGATTCGTTAAAAGTCATATTTGTTTTTGTTGGATGATTCTATGTCAACACGTAATTCTCGCGATCACGCGTTCACGTGCACGGGAGCCTTGACGGTGACTGGTCAGACTGGTTCCATGTAAAAAATAATACCCGGCAATAGCGATCAGCTGCTTCGCTTAGGGTTATTATTATTTGAAATATGTTTAGTAAAAGCTGCATCTAAATTAACAAGATATTTGAAAATATTATTCCTGATAAAAAAAATAGTTTCAGATACAACTTTTGCCGATCCTTTCATTAAACCCTGTAAAGTTATATCATTGGGTGTGTCTTGACCGAATCACCGGTAGATTCCAAGAAAACGTGTGTACAGCTGATTGCTGTGTCCGGCTTAGTTTACGAGAAAATACACAAGGTAATCTTAATCCCTGGATATAAAACAATGCCTAGCTGCACAAAAAATACAATTTAAACGGTAAATCAACATGTCTGGTGATTTTTTATCTCAAATTTCGAATTTGTACTGACGAAGTTTCTCATCACCTGTTCGTTTGCCGGACTTCGCTGAAGGGGTACGGTGTAATTTTTTTCTGCGCATAATATTCAAATTTCTTTTTTTCCAATATATTGAACCCGCTAGAGGGGGGTGCGCATTACACATGGGTGCGCACTATACTCAAGAAAATACGTTTGGAACATGTGGGAGGTCCAAGGTTAGAACTGGTTCCTAGCAGCAATTCTTGTTGTAACAGGAGACTTAATGGATCAGGTGGTCAGGCTCGGTGACTTGGTTAATAACTGGCAATGTACCCCACAGCATGGATTGTTGCTCACAATATTGGTTGACTGCCTGGTTCAGGCCGCCATCATATAGATGGAATATTTTTTAGTGTGTTGATAAACGGCAAACACACACACAGGTTGTTGGTTGTGAAGTGAAGGTGTCAGCAGATCCTGCGTGCTACCTCATCTGCTTGTGTGTCCTCTAAAGTGTGTAATTTCTCTCCCCAGATCCCGGTTACTATCCTGACTGGAGTGCCAGGCTGTCACAAGGAGAACCTAGCTAGAACCATCACCAGTTTCGACAAGGACAACACACGGTGAGATGACACAGTGAATCATGTATGTCGTTAATTCTTTGTACGACGTTTCAGAGCTTCCTGCTCCTTCATCAGGTGAAGAATAAAAGAAGTTGCTGCCATGAAAGATTGCCTTGTTTTCTTGTTCTCCCAACTTCTAAATACCTATTAAAGACTTCATTGCTGTTGATGCTAATTAATGTCTTATTACAACTTGAATCAGTGCAGTAGTCATGCTCATGATTTGTTTCGGGTCATGTTCTGCATTGATTTAAACTGGGAACATGCATCACTTGGTGCTTTAAATGTTGATTTAATCCTCTGTGTGTTAACAGATGGACGACAATCTGCCAGCCCCATGACAACAGTTCAGTATTTGACCCTGTGAGTCTCCAGAACTCCCTCACCTCAGCCTACTCTGCCAACCGCCGCCGCCATACGTCCGGCAACTACAAGAGAACCAGGGTTGTCGTCCTCACACCAGGGTGGGTAGATTCTCCACAGGTTGTATGTAGGATGTCAGGGTGGGTAGATTCTCCACAGGTTGTATGATGTATGTCAGGATGGGTAGATTCTCCACAGGTTGTATGATGGATGTCAGGATGGGTAGATTCTCCACAGGTTGTATGTAGGATGTCAGGGTGGGTAGATTCTCCACAGGTTGTATGTAGGATGTCAGGGTGGGTAGATCCTCCACAGGTTGTATGTAGGATGTCAGGGTGGGTAGATTCTCCACAGGTTGTATGTAGGATGTCAGGATGGGTAGATTCTACACAGATTATATGTAGGATGTCAGGGTGGGTAGATCCTCCACAGGTTGTATGTAGGATGTCAGGGTGGGTAGATTCTCCACAGGTTGTATGTAGGATGTCAGGGTGGGTAGATTCTCCACAGGTTGTATGTAGGATGTCAGGATGGGTAGGTTCTCCACAGGTTGTATGTAAGATGTCAGGGTGGGTAGATCCTCCACAGGTTGTATGTAGGATGTCAGGGTGGGTAGATTCTCCACTGGTTGTATGTAGGATGTCAGGTTGGGTAGATCCTCCACAGGTTGTATGTAGGATGTCAGGGTGGGTAGATCCTCCACAGGTTCTATGTAGGATGTCAGGATGGGTAGATTCTCGACAGGTTCTATGTAGGATGTCAGGATGGGTAGATTCTCGACAGGTTGTATGTAGGATGTCAGGGTGGGTAGATCCTCCACAGGTTGTATGTAGGATGTCAGGGTGGGTAGATCCTCCACAGGTTGTATGTAGGATGTCAGGGTGGGTAGATTCTCCACAGGTTGTATGTAGGATGTCAGGGTGGGTAGATTCTCCACTGGTTGTATGTAGGATGTCAGGGTGGGTAGATCCTCCACAGGTTGTATGTAGGATGTCAGGGTTGGTAGATTCTCCACAGGTTGTATGATGGATGTCAGGGTGGGTAGATTCTCAACAGGATGTATGATGGATGTCAGGGTGGGTAGATTCTCCACAGGTTGTATGATGGATGTCAGGGTGGGTAGATCCTCCACAGGTTGTATGATGGATGTCAGGGTGGGTAGATTCTCCACAGGTTGTATGATGTATGTCAGGGTGGGTAGATTCTCCACAGGTTGTATGATGGATGTCAGGATGGGTAGATTCTCCACAGGTTGTATGTAGGATGTCAGGGTGGGTAGATTCTCCACAGGTTGTATGATGGATGTCAGGGTGGGTAGATCCTCCACAGGTTGTATGTAGGATGTCAGGATGGGTAGGTTCTCCACAGGTTGTATGTAGGATGTCAGGGTGGGTAGATCCTCCACAGGTTGTATGTAGGATGTCAGGGTGGGTAGATTCTCCACTGGTTGTATGTAGGATGTCAGGGTGGGTAGATCCTCCACAGGTTGTATGTAGGATGTCAGGGTGGGTAGATCCTCCACAGGTTCTATGTAGGATGTCAGGATGGGTAGATTCTCGACAGGTTCTATGTAGGATGTCAGGATGGGTAGATTCTCCACAGGTTGTATGTAGGATGTCAGGGTGGGTAGATCCTCCACAGGTTGTATGTAGGATGTCAGGGTGGGTAGATCCTCCACAGGTTGTATGTAGGATGTCAGGGTGGGTAGATTCTCCACAGGTTGTATGTAAGATGTCAGGGTGGGTAGATTCTCCACAGGTTGTATGTAGGATGTCAGGGTGGGTAGATCCTCCACAGGTTGTATGTAGGATGTCAGGGTGGGTAGATTCTCCACAGGTTGTATGATGGATGTCAGGGTGGGTAGATTCTCCACAGTTTGTATGATGGATGTCAGGGTGGGTAGATTCTCCACAGGTTGTATGTAGGAGGTCAGGGTGGGTAGATTCTCCACAGGGTAGATTCTCCACAGGTTGTATGTAGGATGTCAGGGTGGGTAGATTCTCCACAGGTTGTATGTAGGATGTCAGGGTGGGTAGATTCTCCACAGGTTGTATGATGGATGTCAGGGTTGGTAGATTCTTCACAGGTTGTATGATGGATGTCAGGGTGGGTAGATTCTCCACAGGGTAGATTCTCCACAGGTTGTATGTAGGATGTCAGGGTGGGTAGATTCTCCACAGGTTGTATGATGGATGTCAGGGTGGGTAGATTCTCCACAGGTTGTATGATGGATGTCAGGGTGGGTAGATTCTCCACAGGGTAGATTCTCCACAGGTTGTATGTAGGATGTCAGGGTGGGTAGATTCTCCACAGGTTGTATGTAGGATGTCAGGGTGGGTAGATTCTCCACAGGTTGTATGATGGATGTCAGGGTGGGTAGATTCTCCACAGGTTGTATGATGGATGTCAGGGTGGGTAGATTCTCCACAGGTTGTATGATGGATGTCAGGGTGGGTAGATTCTCCACAGGTTGTATGTAGGATGTCAGGGTGGGTAGATTCTCCACAGGATAGATTCTCCACAGGTTGTATGTAGGATGTCAGGGTGGGTAGATTCTCCACAGTTTGTATGTAGGATGTCAGGGTGGGTAGATTCTCCACAGGTTGTATGATGGATGTCAGGGTGGGTAGATTCTCCAAAGGTTGTATGATGGATGTCAGGGTGGGTAGATCCTCCACAGGTTGTATGTAGGATGTCAGGGTGGGTAGATTCTCCACAGGTTGTATGATGGATGTCAGGGTGGGTAGATTCTCCACAGGTTGTATGATGGATGTCAGGGTGGGTAGATTCTCCACAGGTTGTATGATGGATGTCAGGGTGGGTAGATTCTCCACAGGTTGTATGATGGATGTCAGGGTGGGTAGATCCTCCACAGGTTGTATGTAGGATGTCAGGGTGGGTAGATTCTCCACAGGTTGTATGATGGATGTCAGGGTGGGTAGATACTCCACAGGTTGTATGATGGATGTCAGGGTGGGTAGATCCTCCACAGGTTGTATGTAGGATGTCAGGGTGGGTAGATTCTCCACAGGTTGTATGATGGATGTCAGGGTGGGTAGATTCTCCACAGGTTGTATGATGGATGTCATATACACATAATTAGTCCCCTGTTGATTATGCTTCATGAATCCAGTCGGTGACCTTAAGTCTGGTTTTGATTATTTACCGACCATGTCATCACAGTGTTGTGTTGTTAATTGTAATACTTGAGAATTATCTGTTTTGTGTCATTTACATTTTTATCATTCAGTTATTTAGATTGATATGGTGAGATAGAACTGACGTGAGGTAAAATGGGGTGTAACGTCATGTTCAAGAATATTGCACTTTTGCAGAGACGTGCATGCACATGTGTGTGGCTGCTTGTACTAGTCCGGACTAATCCTGATTTTATAGTGCCAGACAACTGAGATACCATACTGCAGTTTAACATGGTTACCCTACTCAGACACATTACACAGACTCCAAACCAATGAAACCTTGTTTTCTTCTCTAAATGCCAAGCACCAGGCAGGGTAATAACAAGTACCATCATTTAACTTCTTGGTATGACAAGGCCGGGGATCAAACCACCAACCTCCCACTCTGCTAAGACAACTTACAATTTTAAGAGACACAAAGTTCTCAATAGTTACATCAGAATAGCTTTAAGGGGAATATTGCCAGACAGTTTTGATATTAGGGCCATACATTTTCTTGATTTATTATATTTTGTATTTTAGTTACACTGACATCATCGATGTAGTCCACGCCATAGTCTCTCACCCAAACACAGAGGTCGCTGCACAGATCAGGATAGGTGAGAGTTTCTCCGTCATTCAAGGGGAGATCTGAAATTGATTTTGATAATTTGAGTCTTGTGGAAACTGTGTTTGAAAATGATGTGTTTCAGGTTCCTCTGGGTTGTGTTGTATAATCCCTTTTGTGTTGTTCCTTCCATATGATGAGATGCATATTCTCCAGGATGTGTTGTATGATAATTCCCTTTGATGTTGTTTATTACCTATATTGTACTGTATATTCCCTAGGATCCTAGGATAATGTGTGGCACTATATGTATGAGTACATTGCCTATACCGTGTTGTAGGTGCAGTGACAGCCTGCGTGGACCCTCTCAACACATTCATGGAACACAGGTACAACACATGATCACACACCAGACACCTGCAGATAAACACTTGCTTCTCAGGCTAGCCGACCTCTTTCAGTTTGGATGTCATTGTACCCAAGGTTGCATGTATAAATGATCACAATATCAACCACTGGTTGTCAGGTCCAGATTTGAACCCAGCCAATCTCATTAAAATCAGATCTTAGTTCTCGCTACCGCTAAACATAGATCTGAGGACATCCCATTTCGGGTCACGTCAGATCAACCTTGCGCAAACTTTGACTGACCAATGGAATGACCAATCAGAAGGCAGCTTTCTCGTGCTTTACGGCACTAATTTCAAATTGGCAACTACGCTTAGAAACATATTTTGACAAATTCTCAATTACATATTTGAAACCTGAACAAAAGAACATTCTGGAATGGCTAATAGATGGTCTAGATTGTATGGATTCAGTCGTTGAGCTCATAACTATCGTTCAGAGTTAAAGTTTTCGAGTTTGCATGATTAGAAATCACATTCCGACTGTCACTTTCATAATCTGGTAAGCGATGCTCTGATTGGTCCGATGAAAGGTCGTTCTGACGTGACCCCTAATGGAATGTCCTCAGATCTTTGTTTAGTGGTAGCGAGAACTGGGGTCTCATTTTAATAAGATTAGAACACAGGCACAATATGTTATATTTATAACACCATTCAGTCATCCACTCCTAGTCTGGGTTGGCACCCTGATGTACTGTAGCTCACATTGACTCCTCCCTGCTCCAGGTTGACGTTCCCCACTCTGTTGAACCACTGCAGCCAGGGCTGGGTCAACTGCATCGTCTTCACATCCTCCATATCCACCAAGGTAGGCAATGAACCTAGCCAACAGTGCTCCAACACATGTCTGTCTGTTATCCATGGGACTAGTGGAGATCCAGGTTAGAATAGGTCTTCAGCAGCCCATGCTTCCCATAAGAGGCGACTATGCTTGTCGTGAAGGCAGCTAACGGGATCAGGTGGTCAAGATCACTGACTTGGTTGATGCCGGTCATTGTATCCCATCAATGCTCATGATGTCAATCACAGGGTTGTCTGGTCCAGACGTGATTATTTACAGATCACCATCATATAGCTGGAGTATTGCTGAGTGCAGCATTAAACAACAAACAAACAAACTGAACCTAGCCAAGAATGCTCAAAATCATGTCTGTCTGTTATCCAAGGCCTGTAATACTATGGCTGAACTAGCCTTTGTTCCATACAAGTGTTCAGTTTGCTGTTCAGATGCTGCAGGTTTCTAACAATATTTGTTATTCATAAGATATGTTTGCTCTCAGGCTAATGTATCATTCATTTGGGTATGATGAAATATCCAGTATTTATCATTAATAAATGATGGAGGTAATGAGTGAGTGAGTGAGTGAGTGAGTGAGTATGGTTTTATGCCATTTTTAGCAATATTCCAGCAATATCACAGCGGGGGACACCAGAAATGGGCCCATGTTGGGAATTGAACCCGGGGCTGTGGCGTGATGAGATAACGCTTTATCCACTAGGTTACCCGACCGCCCGTGGAGGTTATGAATGAACAATATATTTAATCAACACTTATATATAATTTGTAAGGTTTAAGGTACCATTTATCACATGTTGTTATAAGCATTATATGGTGATCCACTGTTTGTGTCTGGTTGTAACCATGTGACAGCTGAGTCTGATTCCCACTGTAATCCCCTGTTGTCCAGAACGAGACGCTAGAGGAGGTTCAGAATCTCGTCCGGAGTATCAACAGCGATGTGGCTCTGCTACTGGCAGAGAGGGGCGTTGTCAGGAGGTAGGTACTCGGCCTGCTAGTCTTCCTTCCACTATCACAGATATTGACCATTGTTTTGGATGGAATTTGGTTTTTCGTGATAACCTCTTAGGATGTTTACTGTTTCCTAGTGAGATCCCATCCCAGGTGTGAGGTTTTACTGTTTCCTAGTGAGACCTCATCCCAGGTGTGAAGTTTTACTGTTTCCTAGTGAGACCTCATCCCAGGTGTGAGGTTTTACTGTTTCCCAGTGAGACCTCATCCCAGGTGTGAGGTTTTACTGTTTCCTAGTGAGGCCTCATCCCAGGTGTTAGGTTTTACTGTTTCCTAGTGAGACATCCCAGGTGTGAGGTTTTACTGTTTCCTAGTGAGACCTCATCCCAGGTGTGAGGTTTTACTGTTTCCTAGTGAGACCTCATCCCAGGTGTGAGGTTTTACTGTTTCCTAGTGAGACCTCATCCCAGGTGTGAGGTTTTACTGTTTCCTGGTGAGACATCCCAGGTGTGAGGTTTTACTGTTTCCTAGTGAGGCCTCATCCCAGGTGTGAGGTTTTACTGTTTCCTAGTGAGGCCTCATCCAAGATGTGAGGTTTTACTGTTTCCTAGTGAGGCCTCATCCCAGGTGTGAGGTTTTACTGTTTCCTAGTGAGGCCTCATCCAAGATGTGAGGTTTTACTGTTTCCTAGTGAGGCCTCATCCCAGGTGTGAGGTTTTACTGTTTCCTAGTGAGGCCTCATCCAAGGTGTGAGGTTTTACTGTTTCCTAGTGAGGCCTCATCCCAGGTGTGAGGTTTTACTGTTTCCTAGTGAGACCTCATCCCAGGTGTGAGGTTTTACTGTTTCCTAGTGAGACATCCCAGGTGTGAGGTTTTACTGTTTCCTAGTGAGACCTCATCCCAGGTGTGAGGTTTTACTGTTTCCTAGTGAGACCTCATCCCAGGTGTGAGGTTTTACTGTTTCCTAGTGAGACCTCATCCCAGGTGTGAGGTTTTACTGTTTCCTGGTGAGACATCCCAGGTGTGAGGTTTTACTGTTTCCTAGTGAGGCCTCATCCCAGGTGTGAGGTTTTACTGTTTCCTAGTGAGGCCTCATCCAAGATGTGAGGTTTTACTGTTTCCTAGTGAGGCCTCATCCCAGGTGTGAGGTTTTACTGTTTCCTAGTGAGGCCTCATCCCAGGTGTGAGGTTTTACTGTTTCCTAGTGAGGCCTCATCCCAGGTGTGAGGTTTTACTGTTTCCTAGTGAGACCTCATCCCAGGTGTGAGGTTTTACTGTTTCCTAGTGAGACATCCCAGGTGTGAGGTTTTACTGTTTCCTAGTGAGGCCTCATCCCAGGTGTGAGGTTTTACTGTTTCCTGGTGAGACCTCATCCCAGGTGTGAGGTTTTACTGTTTCCTAGTGAGGCATCCCAGGTGTGAGGTTTTACTGTTACCTAGTGAGGCCTCATCCCAGGTGTGAGGTTTTACTGTTTCCTAGTGAGGCCTCATCCCAGGTGTGAGGTTTTACTGTTTCCTAGTGAGGCCTCATCCAAGGTGTGAGGTTTTACTGTTTCCTAGTGAGGCCTCATCCCAGGTATGAGGTTTTGCTGCTTCCTGGTGAGAATTGATGAGTTGACTTGGTTGATGCATGTCATCGATCCCAATTGCGAAGATTGATGCACATGATATTAATCACTGGATTGTCTGGTCCAGACTCAATTATTTACAGACCGCCGTCATATAGCTAGAATATGGCTGAGTGTGTCATAAACAACAAACCAACCAACAAACTTTAGACTGTCATAACCCACTTTTATACAAATATATATAAACCTGGATAGGAATCTTCAGGCTAACACCCTCCATTTTACTAGCTTGGTCATTGCTTCCCTAATATTTTGCTATGTCAACCAAAACCTTGAAGTCGTGTTTTATTCCTTACTTACAAACTGTTGTGAAGGGTCCTTTGTACACAGTATACAGCTAGCTACATGTGTCTCTACCATATTTAACATAGCATTTGTGTAGTTTGTATCTGTGTGAAATAGTTTCAAAATATTGCTGCCCTGGTGGGTTAGTCTTAACAGTTACTAACTAGTTTCAAATTTCATTAGCTTAAATATATGACTTTTTTGTCAAGAAACACAGCTTGTGATTGGTTAAACGATAAGTTACAACCAATGAAAACATGTTTGTTATTCACAGTGTTTCAGCTACTCAAAGAAGATAAAGGGGTGATAACTCTGACCTTACAACCTTGATTTGTTACAGATATTAATTTGATTTTTGATGAACATATTGATGTTCAGAAATAGGAGTACTCATGTGTACATGATCAAATTTCAGCAGCCAGTTTGGCTAGGGACATTTCAAAATCTTTAGTTAACCAAAATTTTGCTAGCCATGGGCAAACGTGTTGGTATACTTTCATAGATATTATTTCGTCAGGTAGATGATCTGTATTTTTTGTCTTTGAAGAATTACGTAATGTTGAAATGCACAGCATACAAAAAATATACTCGTGCGTCTACAAATTCAACGATATTGTGTTCTCTTTTTTCCCTTTTAGATCATTGGCATTATTATTTTCCTCCTTTTTGAGAGTGTGATTTGACCCAGGCTCCGTACATTGTCTGTCTGTGATTGTGTTGCAGAAGCCCTGACCTGGAGCTCATCATGTCCGAGTCCAGCTTCCACCTGCCCCAGATGGTGGCAGCCAGACAGTGTCTCCACCCTGGCTGGTAAGTCAGCCACAGTCATGGCAAAACTCATGATATGGGATATTTTACTAGTGCTTCAATTTCCTTTAACTGTTTATTTTTCAAGATATTTTTAACTGAGAAGCAAAAGAAACTACACCTCTCACTCTCAGTTGATTTATCATATGTTTGATTGTCAACTGAAAATATCTTAAGTTAGCTATATTAATTTTTAAAAATTAACTGTACTGGAAATTCAAAGAATACTTCTGCATGGTTTTATTTTTGAAAATATGATTTGATTTAAAAAAATTCAAACTTTAAAAAGAATTGTGCTGTTTTTTTCTCCAGGCGCCAGGGCATCTACCTCCGAGCCGCCACCGCGCCGCCCATGAACCAAGAGGTCCTCCACTTCTCCAAACCCCTGGACAGGAACAAGCTTCACAAGAGTCTCAGAGGTGAGAGATACCAGTGGCCTTTATTGCTTGGTTCATGCTTGTGTTTGATGTTTGATTTATTGTGCATAAAGATCAACTTGATATCTGTACCTATTTGATATCCAGAATCACTATTTTATTCTGTACCTTGATCACATGAAGTGCCTGCATTGATTTGTTGCCAAGTATCTTCATTGTCTCTAAGATAGGAGTCTCCCTCTTAACTTTACTGAAAAGTTTCCATGCTTTAATTCACTAAAATCATAAGGATACTTTTCTGGTTCTAACAAACATATAGATTCTCTGTGAAGGTTCTGTCTTGAACTGTTGTTAAAGGTAGATATCCAATTTTGATGAAACACCAACAGCACATTACTTCAACATACTTATTAAACATTGTTTTTATTTCCAACTGTTTGTGACCACCTAACAAAACTGAAACAATGAGAAAGTAGCGGGTAACTTATATTTGAAGCCCAAATATAGAGCCACAGTTCTGTTATCTACAATCTGTTGAGGAGTAATCATGATGGTGTATTTCCTTGTCAGATCTTCATGGGAGGCTGAACAAACACAGGCTGGAAGACAATATCTACCATGTGGAGGGCAGACTGAGATTCACAGGTAGGTCACAACATCTACCACGTTGATGGCAGACTGAGATTCACAGGTAGGTCACAACATCTACCCTGTTGATGGCAGACTGAGATTCACAGGTAGGTCACAACATCTACCCTGTGGAGGGCAGACTGAGATTCACAGGTAGGTCACAACATCTACTCAGTTGATGGCAAACTGAGATCCACAGGTAGGTCACAACATCTACCCTGTGGAGGGCAGACTGAGATTCACAGGTAGGTCACAACATCTACCCTGTTGATGGCAGATGGAGACTCACAGGTAGGTCACAACATCTACCCTGTTGATGGCAGACTGAGATTCACAGGTAGGTCACAACATCTACCACGTTGATGGCAGATGGAGACTCACAGGTAGGTCACAACATCTACCACATTGATGGCAGACTGAGATTCACAGGTAGGTCACAACATCTATCCTGTTGATGGCAGACTGAGACTCACAGGTAGGTCACCACATCTACCACATTGATGGCAGATGGAGATTCACAGGTAGGTCACAACATCTACCACGTTGATGGCAGATGGAGATTCACAGGTAGGTCACAACATCTACCCTGTTGATGGCAGACTGAGATTCACAGGTAGGTCACAACATCTACCCTGTTGATGGCAGACTGAGATTCACAGGTAGGTCACAACATCTACCCTGTTGATGGCAGACTGAGATCCACAGGTAGGTCACAATATCTACCCTGTTGATGGCAAACTGATATTCACAGGTAGGTCGCAACATCTACCATGTTGATGGCAGACTGAGATTCACAGGTAGGTCACAACATCTACCACGTTGATGGCAGACTGAGATCCACAGGTAGGTCGCAACATCTACCCTGTTGATGGCAGATGGAGACTCACAGGTAGGTCACAACATCTACCCTGTTGATGGCAGATGGAGACTCACAGGTAGGTCACAACATCTACCACGTTGAGGGCAGATGGAGCATTGATGGAGGTATCAGAGTTGATTAATGATAGTTAACATGCCATGACCAACAGCAGTTTATAAATGCATTCTGGTCGGGTCCTGTTCTTGAGGTAACTTGATACTGTTATTGTCGGACTTGACACTCTGTGGGAGTAGATATGGTTCTAACCAATATTTCTGGGAGTTTCATACACTGATGGAAGCAATATCTGATCTTATGTAATATTGTGTCAACTTTGTCCCAGATTCCCGCCAGATAGTGGAGCTTCAGTTTGTGACACTTAGTGGCTTCCTGACCTCGTCGCCATCAGATGACCAGGCCATTCCTCCATCTCGGCAAATGAATGGCCAGCCTCTCCATGACTGTTTCCTCACCTTCAGTGGGTGTGGCCTGCAGGAGGACAAGCTCAAGGACTGGCTACGTCTCTGTGCTCAACAGGTAAGGCCGGGGTTTCATAACATAATGGGGGGCACGGGTGGCCCAGTCGTCTAAGGCGCCGCGATTCGCTGTGCAGAGTTGCGTCCCTTGGGCACGCCATAAACCTATGATTGTGGGTTCGAATCCGGGTTCGCCCCGATTATGTTTCTAGGTTTGTCAGCACCATACCCGTGCTCGTGGGTTTCACCGAAGTGGTAAACGTCTGAGACCTGCATCACTTCGGGCTTTCCTCCCACATTAAGCTGACACGCTGCGATATAACTGGAATACTGTTAAAAGTGGCGTTAAACCCAACTCACTCACTCACTCACTCACTCACATGTTTCATAACATAATGCCCCTGTGCTCAACAGGTGAGGCTGGGGTTTCATAACATAATGCCCCTATCCTCAACAGGTGTGGCCGGGGTTTCATAACATAATGCCACTGTGCTCAACAGGTGAGACCGGGGTTTCATTACATAATGCCCCTATACTCAACAGGTGAGGCCGGTGTTTCATAACATAATGCCACTGTGCTCAACAGGTGAGGCCGGGGTTTCATAACATAATGCCCCTGTGCTCAACAGGTGAGACCGGGGGTTTCATTACATAATGCCCCTATGCTCAACAGGTGAGGCCGGTGTTTCATAACATAATGCCCCTGTGCTCAACAGGTGAGGCCGGGGGTTTCATAACATAATGACACAGTGCTCAACAGGTGAAGCCGGGGTTTCGTAACATAATGCCACTGTGCTCAACAGGTGAGGCCAGGGTTTCATAACATAATGCCCCTGTGCTCAACAGGTGAGGCCGGGGGTTTCATAACATAATGCCCCTGTGCTCAACAGGTGTGGCCAGGGTTTCATAACATAATGCCCCTGTGCTCAACAGGTGAGGCCGGGGTTTCGTAACATAATGCCACTGTGCTCAACAGGTGAGGCCAGGGTTTCATAACATAATGCCCCTGTGCTCAACAGGTGAGGCCGGGGGTTTCATAACATAATGCCCCTGTGCTCAACAGGTGAGGCCGGGGGTTTCATAACATAATGACACCGTGCTCAACAGGTGAGGCCGGGGTTTCATAACATAATGCCCCTGTGCTCAACAGGTGAGGCCGGGGTTTCATAACATAATGCCCCTGTGCTCAACATGTGAGGCCGGGGTTTCATAACATAATGCCCCTGTGCTCAACAGGTGAGGCCGGGGGTTTCATAGCATAATGCCCCCGAGCTCAACAGGTGTGGCTGGGGTTTCATAACATAATGCCCCTGTGCTCAACATGTAGGGCAGGAGTTTCACAACATGACGTCTCCTTGCTCAACAAGTGGGACATGGGTTTTTACAAGTCAATAAAATACATACAGTGAAAAGTTCCTGGTTTGGTTAAATGGAATTACCCAAGCAACATTTACACTTACCGAAACATATTCCAACATGTTACATTATTTATTTCCACTGAAAAAATTGTATATGTCACATATCTATTGACAATGATGAAATTATAGACCATACGTGATTTGGCTGTTGACTACTACTATTTCCTGACTCTCTAACTGATGTGCTATCCTCCAAAGAAACCCGAGAAGAAGAAGCCGGTTTCTCGAGGAGGTCTCACCAAAGAAGAAATCTCCAGGATACATGTAAGACGTTTAGGATGTTATTTACAAGCTTTATCTGTCTTTGGTACCTAATGCTCACCATACTTACCTCCCTTGACTGTACCAGGATTCAATGGTCATGGATTTGAAATACCAAATTTACTGTTGATAATTGTTGGTATACCCATGATTGTCAGTTTCAAATTGGTAAATGTGTCCAAACTCTGTGACATTGGGCTTTCTTTAAAGCTGACCTATCATTCTATAGAATGTTTGAAACTTCCAATAAGACTTCATCATCTCCTGTTTACAAAGTGCCATGGTTGGAGTCCGAAAATTTGTATTTGATGAAAAAATTGGATAATGATCCCATAATTTAATTGTCTTGATGGAATGGAATTGTTCTGTTAACAGAAGACGCACCACCTTGAGGCCCTGCCCCCCGGCTGGTTCTACAACGGCACACAGTTCCTCAGCATGGGTGGGGACAAGTCCAGCACACACCCTAGTATCCTTCTGTTCCACAGTAGGAAGGAGACAGGCCACATGTCTGATACTGTATAAGGTTTTACAATGTTGTGGACTTCGCCTGAGTTTAAAATTAAATCAATTTTGTTTTGTTTATGACAATACTCAAATGGACATTCAAAGGAATGGAGTATGATATCCAGAGTAAAATGTTTTCACTATATATGACCAGAATATGCCTAAATACCTTAAAATCAAAACTGTTACTTTCCTTAATCCTGTAAAGATCTGGAAGAATTCATCACCAATTGGGTGAAGTCCAAGAACAATGAAATCTCTACCTACAACGCTCAGATTGAGGCTGAAGCTTTCACAGATCTGTTTGACTGATGATAGACACGTCAGTGTGGATGAACACTCTTCACCCTTCATTCTTCAACTGATGTAAACAGATGGCAATGCTTCATCACAACGTGCTCTGATAAATGTCCCTCCATTATCTCAGCGTGCACTTCTGAACTGACCCATTACCTTTATGCTGACCAATCAAACAATGCAGTACTGCCTCGGACAAGTATCTGACAGTTACATAGTGTGCTGTACCATACTGAGAACTCGACTCCGGTAGGAACAGATTTCTTAGAGGAAATAAGACTTTACATGTTTGTCACTGACTGTTTCTCTAGACTTAAGATCACCAGTGTCTCTCTGTTCTGTGTTTCGGTAGACTTGAGATCACCAGTGTCTCTCTGTTCTGTGTTTCTGTAGACTTAAGATCACCAGAGTCTCTCTGTTCTGTGTTTCGGTAGACTTGAGATCACCAATGTCTCTCTGTTCTGTGTTTCGGTAGACTTGAGATCACTTTGATGACAACAGCCTCATATCTATCTAATTCTTTAAATTCTTTGTTTCTTAGACTTTTATTAAAAAAAGAAATGTTTGGTTTATGGAACCTTTGACCCTGAGAATATGGAGAAAAAGCCCATTTTCATTTTTTAGAAAAGGCATATTTATCACTACCTACCTGGAAAATGTTTAAGAATTTAAAAAAAATAATTTCAGAATCTGGCACCACAGTAACGGTATGACTTTGCCAGCAATACGTCTCTAATGATCTACAGGACAACTCAGTGTTGACAGGGAGAAGTAGAAACTCCAGCCACATCCATTTTTCTCCAAACTTTGTAAGCCAACTGTGAAAAAAAGGCCTTATGAGTCATGTAGTAAGGAGTATATTGCAAAGAATTGCCAAAAACCTGTCACGCTAGGAATGAAGTTATTGGAAATATTGTTTCAAAGACGTAGATGTGCAGACTGACTGTAGATGTTGTGCCAAATGTTCACCAATTGCTCACTCTCTTCACCATTGCTTGTGCTGTTGTTTACAACATGTAAATCCTGTGTGGGGGATTTTGTTTGATGGTGCTCACAGATATTGATATCTTAGCTGACTGCTCACATGATACATGTATATAATAGGCAGGGAAGCTGCTGTCACTCGTCCACGAGCCAGAAGGTGACCAGTGTTAAAGGTGATATCTGGCTGACTGACATGTTAGTTACTTTATAGTTTGCTTGTATTGTTAGTATTCAGTGAGACTGTATTAGACTTCCTGAACTTGATATAGGGTTTAAGAGGCTGTGACTTTATCCTCCCAGCTAAATTGGATCTGTGGACTACTGTCTGTAGTCTGCTGTCAGGAAATACAAATAACCTGATTTATCATGCCTCCATGTCAGAATGATGAGATCTGATTGGTCCACACGATCTTGATAAAATACTGTGTATCCCGCCTTGGAGGGGAATAAGTTTTTCAGCGGGGGATTAAATCTCATGCCCTACCATAAGCAAGTCAGGCTGCATGGGGATTTCTGAGAGGCGGAATAATTCTTTTACAATGTCATATTAAAACATGTCAGTAAGATAAATTCAATGTAGCAGGATCACAGGGGCTATATGGGGCTTTAAAACCCCATGTACCCCTTGTGATACCTGCTACATCTTATAACATGTTCCACTGTCACCAGGACATTTGGAAGTTTACACGGTAAAATGACTTATGTAGGAATCTAAGTTGAGGGCTGTTGCTAGCAGAAATGCAAAGACTGTTTTTGTCCAAAATTGGGATTTATTTTAGAGTTATTTTTTCCCTAATTTCGGGTGTATTTTAACATTGCATTCAATGCAATAATGTTAAAGCTCTCTTAGTATTGGTGCTGTCATCAGTGAAATACAAGTCAACCCTACAAAGCCAAAATGATTAATTCCAATTTGGGAATGTTTGCTGACGCTTGTTGCAGACTTGGGGGGTGAATATTGTCCTTGTAGCAGGTCTTGATAACTGAAATGGCCCACCTCAATTTTCCCATTTTTATTCCCCTATTCATTTAAGAAAAATGTCCTGGGCCCATTTACCACCATGGTTTCACGAAGAGACGGATTCTGAGAAAACAATGCACTAAATAGCCATTCATTCAAATTACACTCACAAGTGAGAGAAATGTGCTGAGTTGGTGATGAAAAAAGACTGACATCACATCCGAAATGAGGTTGTGAATGGATCCAGGGTGTTATCCTGGAATAAAGATACACCAGATAATGATGTGAATATGTGTTTCTATCCCTATGTAGCTGTTGCTGACTGTATTACCATTATTGTGATGTAGGAACACCGTTCATCAGAAAACAGTGAATCCATCCAAATTTTCTTGATGATTTTACATAACACATTCCGTCCAGTATTAAAATGAGTTACTGACAGAGTATTCCACCGTTGTGAGTTTTGTTAATTTATATTTTCCAAACTATATATTCGTTTGAAATATATTGTACTAACGTTAAATTGTTACATATGTTACCTTGATGAATTCTATTTGTGTTGAACAAAGACTGCATGTTTGAAATAAAAGATTGTGTGAAATCTATCTTTTGTATCTTTACTTAGATATAGAGATTTTGTTTTTACACTTTACTTATTTACCATGTAGTAAGCACCATGTACACTCAAAATGGAACAGTCTACCCAAGAGATCCAAAGAGTTATTTATCATTATATGATGTACTTATTTACACTCCGTAAAAAACACTCTATTTACCATTTACTGCTATCACAACCATCTACCATTATCACAACCATCTACCGTTATCACAACAATCTACCGTTATCACAACCATCTACTGCTTTCACAACCATGTACCGCTATCAAAACCATCTACCGCTATCACAACCATCTACCGCTATCACAACCATCTACTTCTTTCACAACCATCTACTGCTATCACTACCATCTACCGCTATCACAACCATCTACTGCTATCACAACCATCTACTGCTATCACAACTATCTACTGCTTTCACAACCATCTACTGCTATCACAACCATCTACCGCTATCACAACCATCTACCGCTTTCACAACCATCTACCGCCATCACAACCATCTACTGCTTTCACAACCATCTACTGCTATCACAACCATCTACCGCTATCACAACCATCTACTGCCATCACAACCATCTACTGCTATCACAACTATCTACTGCTTTCACAACCATCTACTGCTATCACAACCATCTACCGCTATCACAACCATCTACCGCTTTCACAACCATCTACCGCCATCACAACCATCTACTGCTTTCACAACCATCTACTGCTATCACAACCATCTACCGCTATCACTACCATCTACTACTTTCACAACCATCTACCACTTTCACAACCATCTACCGTTATCACAACCATCTCCTGCTTTCACAACCATCTACTGCTTTCACAACCATCTACCGCTATCACAACCATCTCCTGCTATCACAACCATCTACTGCTTTCACAACCATCTACCGCTATCACAACCATCTCCTGCTATCACAACCATCTACTGCTTTCACAACTATCTACTGCTTTCACAACCATCTACTGCTTTCACAACCATCTAGCGCTATCACTACCATCTACCGCTTTCACAACCATCTACCGTTATCACAACCATCTAGCGCCATCACAACCATCTAATCCTTCCACAACCATCTACTGCTTTCACAACTATCTACTGCTTTCACAACCATCTACCGCTATCACTACCATCTACCGCTTTCACAACAATCTACCGCTATCACAACCACCTACCGCTATCACAACCACCTACCGCTATCACAACCATCTACCGCTATCACAACCATCTACCCTTATCACAACCATCTCCTGCTTTCACAACCATCTACCGCTATCACAACCATCTACCACTATCACAACCATCTACCATTCAATGACATGATCTACAAGCAAATCCACGGACTACCTATGGGCTCCCCTCTATTTCCTCTCATCACTGAAATCTTCATGACATCCTTTGAAGAATCAGCCCTCCCCACAGCACCATTCCAACCCCTCTGCTGGTACCGAAAAGTAGACGACACATTCACCACCATAGCCCACCAGAACGACCCCACAGAGCTCCTCAAACATCTCAACGCCCAGCACAAGAGAATCCAGTTCACCATGGAGACCGAAACTAATCGACACCTTCCTTTCCTAGACATGTCCCTCCAAACAGCAGATGGTGGACTAAGAACATTAGTGTACCGCAAACTCCCCCCCCCCCACACACACACAGACCACAACATCCACTATAACTCCTGACGCAATCCCCAGATAAAACAAGCCATCCTCGCCACCCTCACCCGACGTGCCAAATCCATTTGCCACCCTGATGCCCTCAGCAGTGAAATGGACCATCTCAAGGAAACCTTCACCTGCCCACCTAGTCTCCAAAACCATCCGCAAGACCCCCAAGAACTCCTACCCCAGGCCCAAACCAGCTCCATCGCCCATCAGAATCACCATACCCTACCAAGGCCCTGTCACTCATCAGATTTCCCGCCTCATCAAGAATAAAGCCAACATAGATGTCACCTTCTCTAGCAGCAAGTCTATTAAGACCCATCTACAAGCAAATGGCAGAGGCACAATCAGCGCGAGTCCCAACCCCATAGGATGTATATACCAGATACCCTGCAACTGTGGCCACCAGTACATTGGAGAAACCCTTAGACCCCTCAACACAAGACTCAAAGACGTTGGACCTCAAACTCGACCAGAAATCCGCTATTTCCGAACACATCCTGAAGAACGTAAACCATAACATCATGTGGGAAGCCAACAAAGTCCTGTCTACCAACAACAACTGGCGACAAAGAAAACTACAAGAAGCCATTGACATCAGGAGACACCAGCCAGCCATGAACCGTGACCAGGGAACCTATCTGCCTAGCGCTTGGGACTTATTGCTTTTATCTTTGTCGGGGTATTGCCTAGCTGACTTCAATTTGCCCCTTGCAATGTCCATTATTACACCTATCAGTGCTAATCCCCACCCCCACCCCACCCCATTTGCCCTGTGTCCATTACCAATTACTTAACTTAAGTGTTCCATAGTTAAGGCATCCATTGTCTATTGTTAATCACCTATCAGCGCCAATCATCTGTTGGCTGCCTTTGTTGGCTTGTACCCTTTGTTATTTTCCACCTTTTGTTATCTTATTCATTTTGTTCTCCTTACATGTACATATATATGCTCTCAGCCACATAGGGGGGCACAGGTGGCTCAGTCGTCTAAGGCGCCGCGATTCGCTGTGCAGAGTTGCGTCCCCTGGACACGCCAGAAACCTATGATTGTGGGTTCGGATCCCGGTTCGCCCCGATCATGTTTCTAGGTTTGTCAGCACCATACCCGTGCTCGTGGGTTTCACCGAAGTGGTAAACGTCTGAGACCTGCATCACTTCGGGCTTTCCTCCCACATTAAGCTGACACGCCGTGATATAACTGGAATACTGTTAAAAGCGGCGTTAAACCCAACTCACTCACTCACTCACTCACTCTGCCTCATAGCATTCATTCACCTGATGAAGGAGTAAGTATATACACCGAAACGTTGTGTTCCTCATAATAAAAGATTTGACATCCATATATTCTCTTCCTTAAGATCTATATTGTAATAAAACGGGTCTTACCCCAGGAAGTGCATCAAATAACTTGAGCACCTTGATTAAAAACATGAAAAGATTTCGAAAATGTTTGTCGAGGCCGAGTTAGGGTTCACATGCTTTGCAAATCTCCCAGATTTATCCTGATTACGATCTTTGGTCTGTCAGAACCAAACACATGTTCATAAGTTTTACTGATGGGTGTAACCCCCCATAACATGCCACCATATTATTAAAGCTAAAATACCTTTCATTAGATATGTTCTTGTATATATCTTTATTTGATAAATTACAACGATAATGAATACAAATAAGGTTGATTAGTCCATGTCTTTTTGACAGATGAACTTTCTTTTAATGTTGAGGCCATTCACCCACTTGCCACCAAACTGGGGGCTGATGATGGCATACTTCACCCCTCCACTGACACCAATGGGGTACGAGGTCATCCAGTAGAACGAGGCAGTTCCAAGGTCTTTGCTGATCTTGTTGCCATTCTCCCACCGCCAGTCCCCGGAGTTGTACCGCACTCCCATGTAGAACCCAAGACCATCATCTACAAGAAGGGAGTGAATTATGGTTCAAGCCATCCAACCCGTGAAGATTCGGGTTAGAACAGATCTTCAGCAATCCATGTGTGTAGGCAAGTAACGGGATCAGGTGGTCAGGCTCGCTGACTTGGTTGATGCACGTCATCGTATCCGATTTGTGTAGATGAAACGCATGATATCAATCACTGGATTGTCTGGTCAAGACTCGATTATTTACAGAGCTGGAAGATTGCTGAGTGCGGCGTTAAACAACAAACAAACAAACAAACAAACACAAAATTGGCATTGGGTCCATATATCAAGCCTGAAATGAAATTATGGTACCTGCGTAGTTCTGGATGATATACTGAGTGACGAGGATCTGCTTGTGTACGGAGTTCAACACCAGAAGATGGTCGCCCTGTTCCATGCACCAGGCAGATGCAGCAGACCATTTTGCAGGCTGTTCGTTGACGAGGATGCACATGTCGGCTAGAGGTATGTGTATGTTGGGAGCAGGGCAGGGCCCGTCTGAACCTGTCACAGATTGAACAGGTTAAGTCCTTATCAAAGGAATGTTCCCAAACCCTCCTAAACTGGTAGTAGTCTCAGAACTGGCTCCTGTTGTATTGTAATCTATGAACACCTACCCGAACCTGTAGCGGTCTCAGAACTTACTGGAATTAGTTAACATCTACCTAAACTTGTAGTAGTCTCAATACTGGCTCCTGTTGTATTGGAATCGTTGACCACCTATCAGAACCTGTAGCGGTCTCAGAACTAACTGGCTCCCGTTGTATTGGAATTTGTTAACACCTACCTAAACTTGTAGTAGTCTCAGAACTGGCTCCTGTTGTATTGGAATCTGTGACCGCCTACCAGAACCTGTAGCGGTCTCAGAACTAACTGGCCCCTGTTGTATTGGAATTTGTTAACACCTACCTAAACTTGTAGTAGTCTCAGAACTGGCTCCTGTTGTATTGGAATCTGTGACCGCCTACCAGAACCTGTAGCGGTCTCAGAACTTACTGGAATTTGTTAACATCTACCTAAACTTGTAGTAGTCTCAGAACTGGCTCCTGTTGTATTGGAATCTGTGACCGCCTACCAGAACCTGTAGCGGTCTCAGAACTAACTGGCCCCTGTTGTATTGGAATTTGTTAACACCTACCTAAACTTGTAGTAGTCTCAGAACTGGCTCCTGTTGTATTGGAATCTGTGACCGCCTACCAGAACCTGTAGCGGTCTCAGAACTAACTGGCCCCTGTTGTATTGGAATTTGTTAACACCTACCTAAACTTGTAGTAGTCTCAGAACTGGCTCCTGTTGTATTGGAATCTGTGACCGCCTACCAGAACCTGTAGCGGTCTCAGAACTAACTGGCTCCTGTTGTATTGGAATTTGTTAACACCTACCTAAACTTGTAGTAGTCTCAGAACTGGCTCCTGTTGTATTGGAATCTATGATCACCTACCAGAACCTGTAGCGGTCTCAGAACTAACTGGAATTTGTTAACATCTACCTAAAGTTGTAGTAGTATCAATACTAGCTCCTGTTGTATTGGAATCTTTGACCACCTATTAGACCCTTTAGCGGTCTCAGAACTAACTGGCCCCTGTAGTATTGGAATTTGTTAACATCTACCTAAACTTGAAGTAGTCTCAATACTGGCTCCTGTTGTATTGGAATCTTTGACCACCTACTAGACCCTTTAGCGGTCTCAGAACTAACTGACCCCTGTGGTATTGGAATCTTTGACCACCGACTGGACCCTGTAACAGTCTCAGAACTAACTGGCTCCTGTTGTATTGGAATTTGTTAACGCCTACCTGAACTTGTAGTAGTCTCGGAACTGGCCCCTGTTGTACTGGACGTGGCTCCCAGAAGCTGGTAGTACTCTTCTCCCGGAGAGTCTGTAGATGCTGCCGATGCCGGGATCACCGTGTTGTGGAGCCTGCACACAGAAGTCAGTTGGTTGAAGAAGTAGGACATGCAGTTGTCCATCTCCAAGCAGTTCCGGCTGCACGTCAGACGGGATATCCCCTCATACCGGCGCACAGCGTCTTGTGTGGCCGCCATGTTGTCCATGTAAAGGAGGCGCTCGGACATACCCTGTCTTAGGCGCACAACATCTTCGGTGGCCGCCAGTTTGTCCGAATAAATACCGTGTGGGCCATTCACACAAAACAGGCACAATAAAAGTAATTTCATCTCGTTTTCTTCCTCAATATTCCAGTGTTTTCAGGCCAAGTTTACTATTTCTTTTCTAATAATTCACAGAACTGTCACCCGTACCCCAGTCTGAGTTTGTTGAGTGAGGAGAAACGCAGCTGTGTCAGTTTCTACCTGTAATGTAACAGTGTTGCTGATGTGAGGTCAGGATTAATTAGGAATCTTAATCAGCGTAGAAAAGTACCATTCTATATCGACAACGAACTTGTATGGAGTGAATTGACAAAGCACGTCTTTTGTATTACTTCATTACGGTATGGGAGACTATAGTCACCAGTGGTGCAAATCTCCATAGAGCAACGATGTAGTGCTCGATGTCTTTGATTAGATATTGATTTTGTATAGTCAACTCAGAAAACCATGCAGTTAATTTCCAATAATAATAATGAATTTACAGCAAGTGACTTTAATTACACCTGTGAGTGGGTGTCCTCCAAAAAAGTCATACGGCCCATTAGTCATACGGGTTAAAACAACATATGGTATGGTTGACTGCACCAACAGCTACCTTTGTAATACCCACAATTAAAGTGGAATGATCCAAGAAACTTTTAATACTTTTAATAATCTTTTAAACACCTCAGCATAGCATATACATTCACCACAGCACATATCATCATCAATGACCTATACTCCTCACAAAAAGTTAAGCAACAAGTATTATTTTCCGTGCAACATTCTCATCAGTGTTGAATGCCATCCATTGAGAACAAATTAAGGCAGGAGAATTACCTACGAATACTCGACTTAAAAGCCTTTTCCATGTAGATTTTCCTGATAACACTGATAACATCGCCTGAACACAACCACCCTCAAAACACACATGCAAAATGCACGACATGCATGTTTTACACACTTCACCAATGCACCCTGATTGCTTAAAAACTGCCAGCA